AAATGTTTATTGACACCCTTTATTGAAATATAACACTACAAATATTAATTGTTATTCAGCTATATCCTGGAAGCAGTAGACGCGCCTATAACAAAATATTTGTAACGCAGTGTATTAAAAAAAAATATATATATATATTATGGACAATAATTAAACATAAAAGTGCTGGTAACTGCAACTACACCATGAATCTCGTATCCACAAAACATTCCATGTGTCACCTATGAAATGGCAAATGACACTTTTAGTTAAATTAAACTAATTCAGTGATATAATATTGCACATGTATATCCTTAGTAATAGGCTGTACAAGCCATTAACAAAGTGCATATTGCTGGATATGGGTAGTTCGTAGATTCTTTATTTAGACATTTAAATTCCCAGCTAATTGGCATCTTAGATGACCATACAAATCTTAAAAGTCCTATTGTAGATATAAATGAATGTAAAGCAATTCCTTCCATATACTTCATATGGCTAAATTGCACATTTATAACCCTGGCTGAATCCAGGAATGGACCATACAAGTTCAGATAAACTGCTCAGTGCTAGAATTGAGCGGACACCTGGATGTTCGGGTCCGGCGGATTCGGCCGAACTTTGAAAAAATGTCTGGGTTCGTGATCGAACTTGACCTCGAACCCGAACCCGAACCCCATTGAAGTCAATGGGGACCCAAACTTTTGGGCACAAAAATGCCTCTAAAAATGTCCTGAAAAGGGCTATAGGGCTGCAAAAGGAAGTAAAATGGGGGTAAGAGTAGGACAAGTGCCCTGCAAACAAATGTGGATAGAGAAATCACTTAAAATAACATAAAAATTAAAAATACAGCTGAGCCATAAAATAGCACTAGATGGAATCTTTGATTTTAGCTTTGGAAGAACATAAATCAAAATCTAAAGCATGGCTGTCCGGAGGATCACCAGAATTATGCATTTTAGAGAGGGTTGGAGTGCAGGGTATTCTCTTTCATTGTTTAAACTGAGCTCAACTCCTAATGCATGGAGAAAAGGCCTTCGCAAGCCTCTGCTATTGTGTACCTAGTTTATACTAAGTGACCCATAGGTTGAGGAGGCAGTAACCGTGGCAGTGGAGGAGGAGGGTGAGGTAGCCAACACTGTTATTTATTTTTTTGTTTTTTTTAATTGGGGTAGCCCCCAAAATATTGGGACATATAAAAAAAGAAACATTTGTGGCCTGCGGTGCATTTCTTGCAGTCCTGATGCATGGATAAATGCTCAACTCCTGATGCATGGAGAAAAGGCCTTCACAAGCCTCTGCTATTGTGTACATA